GTAGTTAATTATATGGTTTGGATTATGGCCCCTTTATAGTATTGTTCACACATACCTTAGTTTACTACTTAATTAGTAAGCCAGAGGCAGGAGTCAGGAGGTGGAGTAGATAGATACTCCTCCATACTCCTATAATGCTGGGGGCGGGGAGCACATTTGATTACATTGATTGCTAGGACCACTGGTGCTCCTAGCATCCAATGACTGGAGAGGAGGTGGACACCTGACATTCTTAGTTGCTAGGACGCCAGCAGTGCTAGCCATAAAGGACTGAAGTGGAGAAGGCCCTGCACTGGGCTATGGCTGTCAATGGATGCAACCGTTTCAGAGGCCAGCGCATCCACTGTCAGCCACACATAACCAAGCGCAGGTCGACGATCACGGTCTGGACAGAAGTACCACTCGGGTTCTTGTTTGGACCGCGGGCCAGACAGGCACAGCCAAAGGGCCAGATGTGGCCTGGGAGTCTTAAAATGCCCAGGTCTGCACCAGAGCATCCACTGCTTCTGTCTGAGGTTCTCTGAACCTGGGGACAAACCTATATAGTCTATTATTAAAAATGGAGGCCAGGAAGTCAACATTAAGCACCCCCCACCTGTGGCACAGGTTTCAAAGCCTTCTGAGAGTAAGGGCCACTCTTCCATGCCCAGTCACTGACGGCTGAGGTAGTCTGCCTGCCTATGGTCCATGTCTGGAATATGAACAGCAGTCAGGAAAAGAACAAAGTTTTTACCAGCACAGAATATTTTCCCATAATCTTGCTCAAGAATTCTGGTTGCTCCGATTGTCGATGTATGCAGTAGCATTGTCTGAATGGATCCTAAACAAGAGACCCTCCATTCGAGATATCCAGCGTTAGGATTCCTACAGCATCCAATTTTATGGAATATACACATTTAAAAACAAAGTTGTTGCTGGTGTTTCTTTATACTTGTTTTAAGATAATGTAGGATTATAGGCATGCATTGTAGAGCTCACTTTTTGTTTAGAGCAACCCGATTTCCTGAATTTCTTTTTTTATTCATATTTACGGAATGTGTGCAGTTACTATATAAACTACTAACTGCAGACAGTTTTACTTAAATATTAGCAAGATACTTAAAAAAAAAAATGTAATTTGTTAATTATAACATGTGATCTACTGAATAATGAGAGAGATAGAGAATATCACTGCTACTTCTCATTCTGCATTATACGGAACAAGCATGCAAATAAGGTTGTCTGAGTTCACATTGGTTTTCCACTTCCTATAACAGGCCAAGGTATCCAGGACAAAATGGCAGTTGGGGAATGTATGACAATCTATATTACACTGTTGGGAAAGCTTAAAATTGTCAGCTTTTATTCATACAGCTAAAACATTTTTCCAAGAGAAAACAACCAACTACAATAACTTCCTAAAAAGTATTTAATGGTTTTGGGCTTGGTTTTGTTTGTCTCTTAGGCTGGGCACACACCTTACAACCATCGCAAGACTTCTGTCTTGCGATGGTTGTAAGGTACTTAAAAAAACGTACGATCTGCCTATGTTGCATAGGCAGATCGTACTTGAGATGATCGCAAGCCACGCCCCCTGAGGGGCGGGCTTCCGATGACCGCAATGCCGAACGGGCAGTGTGCGCTTGCGCACACCGGCCCGTGCGGCTCTTATCGTACGGACATGCCACAAACCCGCCGAACATCGTACGATGCTCGGCGGGTTTTCGAACATGTCCGTAAGTTTAAAGTCGTGCGACCTTACAGTAGTAGAGGTCGCACGGCTTCCACACACCTTACGATCATCGTACGATCGCGGGATTTCCCGCGATTCTCGTACGATAATCGTAAGGTGTGTGGGGACCCTTACTTAAAGTCTATTTAAAAATACAAGTGCATCTAAGACTACCATGTCCACAGGGTTACAATGCTGTGGGGGAAAAAATGGATCTACTGGCATGATCAACATGTAATAAAACTGTTACAGGGTGACAGAGAAAAACAAAAACTGCTGTATTAATGTCAGTGGCAGACTTCATCACATATGTGATTTTGCCCATAGTTACACTTTAGGTTGTGAGTAGACATGGCACAGACAGTACTTTCTACAGGTCTGTTTTTAAAAGGGAATGATAACGCAACCTTTTTAGTCCATAGTTTTCTTTAGGGTTACAGGAGGAGATGTTTTTATCTTTAAAAACAACCAAGGCGGTATATGGTATAGTTGCTGAAATTACTTTTATGTTGTATTAAAAAAAAGACAAAAATAAGAATGCAGGTAAAACTAACTAGCAACATTCCTGGAATTGCAATCATGGCACAAACCATAATCATTGCTTCCAACACATAATAAAAATAAACAGTAAAGTAAAACCACTGAGCAAAGAATAGATAAGAGTACTCTGCTTGTAAGAAATTAAATTACCCTTTGGAAAAGCAATGATTTTGATCAGTAGAGTAAAAATAGAACAGAAGAATAAAATTCCACAGAAATATGACTTACACTATGATGAATGTAATTATTAAACTCATTTTTTAATGCGAAGACATTAAAAAGTTCATTATCAAGCAGAGCATAAAAAAAAAACTAAAGTAGGTCGAAGTACATCTTTAAAACTTAATTCTTGTGTACAAAAGCATTATTAGTTTTATTTTAGGAGAACACGTTTCACATTACTAATTGTTAAAAGCTGGCTAGCAATTAAGACAAATCCATTATAATGATATGCTTTAAACAAAAGACTAATAGCAAGGCTAAGATCAAATACAAAATAGAACCACTGCATCTGTTTAGCAGGTATGCTTTTTAAAATAGATAGATGCCTAAAGTATAGCTAAAGTGAAAGACAGCCATATCTTCAGATGATTTAGTCAGACTGCAAATTCATATATGGCCACACATTAAAGATCCACACTTGGAAACCAAACAGGATTCTACTACTCTATGATTAAGCACAATTCTGAATGAAATAAATTAGAGATGTTGGTCTGAGATGTTTCTGGATGGTGATTGATGAAACAAAGAATCCACACTGATTTTTGGAGTGCCGCAACTTCTCTGTTTTGAACATAATGGTATTGCTGGTAGGGAGCCAGGCGTGCACCCAGTGAGCAGAGTCACAAAGGACCAACCTGGAACAACATTCTGTGTGCCATTTATGTTTATCAGAAAGGGCTTCATGCTTATATTATGTTGAATTAGATGTATTGTAGGTAGTGTTATTTCTGGCCCAGGTTTATATTTTTTTCTCCAGAGTTCAGGCAATATAGCATCAACCCATACTATATGATTAGAAACCCAAAGCTGCCTTATAAAAAAAACAATAAGACCTACTGAAGATAAGATAATGAAATAGGTTAAATCAGAATAATCAATTCAGTCAGTACGTACCACTATTAATATATGCCATATTATGGGGTACTTTGCACAGCAGACCAAGAATTCACAATAATCCATCGAAATTATTCCTCCACTTTAAATTAACTGGTTTGCAGAATTCTGGCTTGGCTGCCATTCCACCCACTTGTGATTCCTCCTTGCCTGAGCAGACTCTGTAACGTTGCTTACTACTCCCAGACTCCCTCTTATGGCAAAACAGGGAGCATCATCTGAGAGAGCCAGATGGGAGTTTCCTGTCTCTGTGATGATGTTATCCCACTCACTATTTAAACTGCTCAGTCCAGTCTGACTTTGCCCTTGGGTGGTTTTACCTGCTAGTGTATTCCTGCTGCTCAGTGTAGCCCGATTCCATGTATGACCTGATTCTGGCTGACGTTCTCCTCTGATTTCTGCTCCTGGCTTGTTCCTGACAATGCTGATCTCCATGTTCCCGTGACCTGGCTTATACTACTACCCACTCTGGCCCCTGACCTTGGCTTGTTACTCTTTATGATTTTTGCTTGTTCCTGTTGACACTTTTCTTATTAAGGTATTTTTAACTAGCAACTTATGCTTGTCTGGTTTTCATGTGCTCTGACCGCTCCAGAGCAACTATAAAAGTAAAAACCATTTCAGCAAGTATCAGTTGCTTAGTATATACTTTGCGCCAATATATCAAAAGCAGCTAGCACTAATCAATGTGTTACCACACGATCAAATAATCAAACAACCACAATTGTGCCACGCTAGGAATATATAGAAAATAAATACATAAATATCAAATAGTACACCGATATTAAAAATATTAGCCCAATTTTACACTGCCTCCTCAAAGTTCCACTAGTTGATCATTGTATAGAATTTTGTTGTGGACAATTCACTTATTCAGGCATGAACACCTATTGGGATATGTATGTTTGACCTGATATCTCACTGCACACAAATACATCTAATATTTGTTTTATATTTTCTATTTATCTTATATGTAAGTTAATAGCACGGCACAATTGTGGTTGCTTAATTATTTCAGCAAGTATGAAGTGAAATGCAGTGTGAACTACACTTTTTGAGTGCCTAGCTATGAGAAGAAGAGTTAAAACCCATTTAGTACTGTTAGGAAAAATTATGGAGGCAACAGAAAACAAAAGCACATACCTGAATGGTTACTATAAACTCCACCCTAATGTGCACTTTCACTAAGTTTTAAAAATTAAGCCATATATTGTAATTATATATTAAAATGATGTACTGAGATTACAATACATGAAAGGTTTATTTAATCTGCCACTTAGGTAAATGTCTGGATACTGGCTGATACTGGCTGAGCACCATGACAAAATAATGTTACTGCAGAACATTCATCAAAATAAACCCAAATATTTACACACAACATTTATTCAGTAAGAATTACTTTTTCCCCCTGTAAACAGATTTAATACTTATTACAAGGAAAACTATCCAGGTTACATCTCTGTATCACCACCCTGCCCGCAGTAAATGGCTTCTGCTTGAGTAAATAAGTAAACCGTATTCTAGGGAAATAATAGATGCATGCTTCCAAAAGGATACTCATTCTTTGCCTGGAGGAGTCAATTTCATAGCACAGCCAACAACAAGAGCTCAAAGTGATTTGTGTTAACCTCACCCTCTGTAGCTCCCACTTCTCAATGAGCGGTTCCACTTCACCTCCAAGAACAACAGTGTTGGTGTCATCCAGGAGCAAACATCCATTTTTCACTTCAACAGTTCCTAATAGCTTTACTTTGGTGCCAGGTGGAGTGTTCAGGCTAAGAGAGAGAAAAATACATGTTGAATAATACAATTAAATGTTTAAATTTTTATAGATTCTGCCAAGAAATGCAATAATCAATTGTAATTCACTTTTAAAAGCATAAAACACAAACAGAACCGGAAGGCTGTTTCTAAAAGCCGAGGCATCCAGTCCTCAGCATTTTGCAATTAAAAAAATTTGTCATTTAAGAATTTTGTTGAAATGTACATGGAAAAGCATTGGAAGCAATTACAAGGTCAGTGAAATTATGAGAGAAAAACATATGGTATGACCCACAATGCATACAAGTTTCCTACCAAGTGGAACGCTGAACAAACACTTGTTCTATGTCTAGTAATGCTAGGCTTTCTCAGCAGCACAATGTACTAAAACATTGCTTTAAAAGGCAGATATACATTTTCAGAAGTTACAAAATAGAGTATGTGTTGCAAAATTAAAATTGCACACATAAACGTCTAGGTGGCAATTTACAATAATGTAAAATAGAAATATAGCTTTATTTTTGTATTGTCTTATTAATTGAATTATATTTACCCCTTTTAACCACTTACAAAAAGCCACTTGAATGCCACACTATTTTGATGATTTCATAATCACGTTAACTAAACCTGGGCTATGTATAATAATATAACCAGGAGTCAAAGAGGACAATATGGAGTGTCAAAGTGGAGGATAGAACATGGCAGAGGGCTAAAGCACAGTTTGAAAAGGGTGTAGGGGAGAGGAACAAACAGGGATCCAGACAACAGTAAGAAAGGACTGTCAGGAGAGAAAAGGGAACACATACGGGGGCTTGAGAATAGTAAGGAAGGGGTGCCAGAACTGGGGAAAGAACACAATAAAGCTTGCCATACACTGCTCGAACTTCACATACCCGCTCCCCACCCACTTGTCCCAACATAATTTGATTTTTTACTCAACTTTGTCCATGAAGGTGGTCAAAGATTCTCAGCTAAACAGTGGCTGCAGCCAATCAGCTGCAGTCACTGTGAGTATTGGGGAAGTGGAACACCCGCAATAGCCCAGCAGGAGAGAATCAAACTTTTTTGTTGTTGTTCAACCCTGCGGGCTGTGTTTTCTTGTCAAGTGTATGGCCAGCTTAAGGCAGGGGTTGACAGACGTAAAGAAAGAACAAGACAGGGCACAAGAGGACAATAAGACAGGGGTGCCAGAAGTAAAGAAAGAACAGGACAGGGCACCAGAGGACAATCAGGCAGGGGTGCCAGAAGTAAAGAACAGGACAGGGCACCGGAGGACAATAAGGCAGGGGTGCCAGAAGTAAAGAACAGGACGGGACAGGGCACCAGAGGACAATAAAGCAGGGGTGCCAGAAGAACAGGACAGGGCACCAGAGGACAATAAGGCAGGGGTGCCAGAAGTAAATAAAGAACAGGACAGGGCACCAGAGGACAATAAGGCAGGGGTGCTGCCAGAAGTAATGAAAGAACAGGACAGGGCACCAGAGAACAATAAGGCAGGGGTGCCAGAAGTAAAAGAACAGGACAGGGCACCAGAGGACAATAAGGCAGGGGTGCCAGAAGTAAAGAAAGAACAAGGCAAGGCACCAGAGGACAATGAGGCATGGGTGCCAGAAGTAAAGAAAGAACAAGGCAAGGCACCAGAGGACAATAAGGCAGGGGTGCCAGAAGTAAAGAAAGAACAGGGCAAGGCATCATGAAAATTTGTTTTGCCACCAAAGACTTTAAATGCAGTGCAAGCCCCCACCCTCTAACAACCTATACTTTATTACACCTTTATGGGCCAAAACAATAAAAATACATAAAACACGTGAGATTGCATTAAAACACTTGAAAAACATGCAACAAAAACTGTGCTAAAAATGCATGAAAAGTGTGAATAGAGATTTTGTCAGGAGAGAATATAGCACGGGCTGATGCACAGTAGAGAATGGGTGTCAGTGCGGACAACCCTATAGGAAAAATCGGGAAAAGTATAACTAGTAAACTGCTAATGCTATCCCAGAAACTTTATATAACTGTATTTAGGTCAGTTTATCATAATCAGACTTTCATATAAACGACTGCAGCCGGATTCAACAAATGTTTAATTATGCTACACAGAAGGACTGCATGATTTTAATACATGATTTTCTAAGTGTAAACTCTACTAAAGAGAATTATATAGGGCTATTCTCTCACCATTTGGCAAACCTTTTTTTAAAAGCTTAGATTTAGGGTCATACAAACACAAGATTGCTGCCAACTACAAGGGATCTAACTATCAGAGCAGCCGTATGCCCAAGACAAATGGCAAAATAAGAGCACTGGGTAAGCTGTGAGCCCGTAGAGAATATAACAAGTCTGTCTTTTTGGCCAGATTTCCATTCACTTTCTGTCCCAGCAAGTAGGAGATAATGTTTACAAAGGGATGGATCCATCCGATTACATCCCCATTGGATAACAACTGCAGAATTTTGGATGCACTTTCTGTCCCGGTGACAAATGTCACAAGGACAAACAAAGGGTTAATCTCACTATCAGGACAGACAAAAATAGGAGTTTTAACCTACTTTATCCAAACTAAAAATATATTTGGCTATAGATACATTTCAACAGGAAGAGAAGCTAAGGAACACAGAAAGATGTGCAAAGAAGAATCTAAACAGGGAGACAATATTTTCAGTACCCGGTAAACAACATTTGATGACTCTCAATTGCCCACTCATTATAAAATGATCTGGATATTCTGTAAAAGCTGAACTACAGAGAAACAGCTTGATTCATATAAACATATTTGAGATGTTTAACCTCCAAAAAATATTTGTATATCAGTCCATTCAGCCCTAAGGGTGGGGATCTGATCTTTCTCTGTTGCAATTTCCCTTTCAGGCCCCATTCACATGTAGCGACATACCTTTGCAGCGGCCGGGATAGCGCGACTTTCGGGGCGACGATCCAGCGACGGTAGCGCGACCTTCTCAGTCGGGCTCCATAGAAAAAAAGCAAAATCCGCCGAAAAAAGGGGCCGGTAGAAGCAACTTGCGACCACGACGAGCGACATGGAGCTAAGACAGCTCCATTGACTATCATTAGCCGGCGACTTCTCGCGATAAGTCGCTACATGTGAACGGGGCTTTACTTGCAGTTCATCTTCCCACCCTCATCCTGTGACAGGACAGTGAGAAGGAGAAGCAGCACAGTATACAATAGAAAGAGGTTAAAGCTGAACTCTGGGCACAAAACTTTCATTTAAATGTATTCCTCAGTAGCCACAAAGGATATCTAATCCACTTTGTGTTTACCAAATGCCTTTACGAACGCAGTTATTACCTTAAAAAAGTAGCAGTGATATTAGCACTGTGTTGTACAGAGCAGAAGTGTGAGAGGGGCCTGGCAAGCCCATCCACTACAGGCTGTCTGCAGAAACATACAGGGGGAGGCAGATACAAGAGCAGTCACGCTGTACAAGGAGAGAAAGCAGCAGTGACTGACAAAAAATTGAGATTCACTAAAATTGACGTGTTTGTCATTCTGGAGTGCTGGTGACATAACTTCCCAACAATGATAGCGGTTGAAAACACGGTGCAGCGTGCGTCACGAAAAAAGGTACATGTACCTTTTTTTAGCAATTGCCATGCGGATGTAACCCCATTGAAATCAATGGGGCCGGCCGGCAACCGCACACAATTGCCCAATTCTGCACCAGCCCTAAAGGGTAAATTCACTTTCCCGAGTAATTTGGGAAAATAGAACTACCCGCACAAATCTGACCCCCTCTCCCTCCCTGGAATACTTTCTTTTCGGCGAACGGTCCACCCCGTCCACCAGCATGGGTGTACTATCTGTACCTGTGCCATGTATTCTGAATTTCACTTGCAAATTGCAAGCACTCGTTGGTCAGCGTGGTAACCTGACGGCGCTGACCAATGAGAAACGGTTTTGTTAAAAAAAAGTTTTGGTGAAATTTATTTTTTTGGTATCAGGACAAGTAGATTGTCATGAGGGAGAAGTAGATCAATTTTTTAGTCAAATGCTGCTCCTTGATATTTAAAAGTTTTAGCTTCCTGCAGAATCAGCTGGCACCCAGAGTACTGATCCTGATATCCTGTTCTAGCCCTTATTCACACCTACCAATTAGGTGCGATTTAGAATTCCTATGGCAGGAATTTCCATATACATTCCATTTACAGGTGGCAGCCGTTCAAGCTGATGATCATATATATGATACGATTACATGCAGTTAGGAATCAATCATTATTGATTACACATCGATCGTGCGTCTAGGGGTAGTGATCGCTTCCTAACCGCATGTAATTGTATCATATATGATTACATGCAGAGTGTCAGCGTTCTGCCGGTTTCAAATGCAGCCGCTGTCACCCGATCATTAACTTGAACCGGTGACAGCTGCCACTTGTAAATAGCAGATTAGGGATTCCTACTGCAGGAATTATTGCACGTGTCCCAGCGCATTCCTGACTGATACATTCCCTTGTGGTGGGTCCTACAGTGACAAGTGGGTGGTGTTGGAGCTGATAAAATGTATATCTACTATATGGCTTTGATATAGAGGTATTCCCTGCCTAATGAAAGAACAAATCAGCATGTGGCTTGGTGATTAGTCCATTAAATAACACAGAGCTCTTGGAGAAGTGACACTAAAGGATGAAGCGATGGGTCAATATCCCCTGAGACAGTCCAGGCCCCTTGCTGGTATTTACCACCCACACCTGTTTTGTATGGCAGCATGGGTGCTGGGGGCTTCCTGTGTAAACATCTGCACAATCTCACAAGCTAGAACAGCGGTAACCTTTACTGATCTTATGGACAAGACAATACTTTCTGGACTTTACAGTCAAGAATGTGAATTGCTGAGACCTACACGATAGGAGTGTAGCAAGAAGAGAGAAAAAAGGCCCTGGCATGTGTGAATACGTGTGAGAATGATGATGCTAGCTGAATGATTGAGACCCCAGTTTCTATCCCTCCCCATCAAAATTCCCACGCCCTACTGTTATTATATTAGAACTTAAGT